GCACTATAAGTATAATTAGATGAATTGGACTACAGCAAAATGTAAAACTTGCATGCATCCAAGGACACAGTCAGCCAAGTGAAAATGCAACCTGTGGAATGGGAGAAAAGTGCTGCAAATCATAGGGCTTAGTATCCAAAAAATATAAAGAACTCCTACAACTCAACAACAAAAAAATACCTGATTGGAAAATGGGCAAAGAACTTGACATGTTTCCAAAGAAGACATACAAATGACCAATAGCACATGAAAAGATATTCATCATCAATAATCAGAGAAATACAAATCAAAACTACAATGAGATACCACCTCAGACCCATGACAATGGCTACTATCAAAAAAAAACAGAAAACGACAAGTGTTGGCGAGGCTGTGGGGAAATTGGAACCCTGTGCACTATTGCTAGGAATGTAAATTGCTGCAGCCACTATGGAAAACAGTTTGGAGGTTCCTCAAAAAATGAAAACTAGAACTACGCATGACTCAGCAATTCCACTTCTGGGTATTTATCCAAAAGAATTGAAAGCAGGGACTCGAACAAATATTTGTACCCCCATGTTCAACACAGCATTGTTCAAAAAAGCCAAAAGGTGGAAGCAACCCAAGTGTCCATTGGATGGATGAATGGATGAACAAAATGTGGTGTATATACACAATGAAATATTATTCAGCCGTCAAAAGGAAGGATATTCTGATATACGTACAACATGGATGAACCTTGACAACATGACAGTTAGTGAAATCAGCCAATCACAAAAGGACCCACCCGTCTGCAGTGGGTCCTCTCCAGTCTGCTTGCGGGGGGCGTAGAGCCTGCATTTTTCAAGTCTTTATTAGTTTATATGTATGATTCCACTTATGTGAGTTGCCTAACACAGGCAGATTCATAGAGACAGAAATGATAGTAGAGGTTACCAGGCCAAGGAGCTAAGACCCAAAAGATGAACAGAAGGGTGGGCTCGTGTAGATCTAAGGGACTGACCTTTCAGGCACAGGGAACAGTCAGGGTCAAGGGTGCTCAGCGAGAAGGAACAGGAGGTCCGGACGGGCTGAAACCCAGTGAGAGGGGACAGAGGGGTGGGAGGAGGTGAAGCCGCAGAAGTAGCCAGAGACTGGACCCCTCCAGGCCTCGCAGATAATGGGAAGAAGCGTGGCTTTGTACTAAGAATGAGTACAAGTCCCCCAGGGATTGCAAGTAGAGGAAACGGCTCTGAGGCATATGTGGTAAGTGTCCCTGAGGCTGGCGACCCTCCTTCTGCAGAGCAGTAGAGGCGGTCCCTTAGGTGAACGGGGGCCTGGCTGCGTGGCCCTGAAGTCTCTCCCAGCCCTGAGTCTCAGCTGATTCTGATGAGCTAAGACGAAGACCCCAGTAGGGTCCTGAGTGCCCTTGAACTCTGCACACAGTACCGTTAGCCAACTTTGGCTGTTGACGATTGGAGGTTTAGTTCAGTAACGTGATTTGCCCACCGCACTATGAAAAATCAGTGTGGCAGCGTGTTGGTTCCAGTCCTAACCAGAAGACCACACAGCAGCATGGCCAGTAAACTTTAACTTGTGTGTAAATGTGTGCCAAGACCTGCTCCAGAGCCTTGTTAAAAACAAACAAAGACTTTCATTTCTTTTTTTTAGTTGAAATTCTGTGAGAGCTGCTCATGTGCTATCTGTCTTTCCACTGGCTGGGACTGGCATTGTGCTATCTGTCCTCTGGTCACATTTTATGGGGTGTTTGAGGATTATTCACATGATGTGACATTGGAATTTGGGGATGTGGCTGTCTTCGGATGCCAAATGAACTTGGATGGAAATCATCTTTCATGTGTGTGTATTTACAGTTGGGGACTTGGAGCCAGGAGGGGCTCCCTGGACATGGCTGTCCTGGCTGCCAGCCATGAGTCTGCAGCCATGCTCCCGCGTCAGCCTCCCCAGTCTGCTGACCACATGTGTGGTCACAGCAACATGTGGCCCTCAGTCCCACTCCACCCAAGTCCGTTCTCAGGCGGTGCCAGCACAGAGACACCAGGCCAGGTGCGAGGGGCCAGCCGTGGGCTTGGCTATGAGGCTGTGTTCCGGCGTCTGTTGTGTTCTCTCTAAATTTAAAACTCGATCCTTCTCCAGTCAACCTTTTCCCCCGCCACAGTGAATGAATGAACGAATGAATGAAAAGGAGCGAACGAATAGATGGATGCATGGATAGGTGGAGGTGTACTTAGTTTCATGGTTAAGAAATTCAAACAGTAGTAAAACATGTAGAGTCTCGAGGTCATACTACCTACGCTTCCTTAAAGGGACTGCAGTGCAGATGGAAGTGTGCCTTACGTAAAATGTATATCAACATGTATCGTTTGAGGGTTTGTTTTCTGGAAATGGAGGACCTCATATTGTTCCATAAACTTTTATTTAACTCTGTGTCTAGGAGACCCTAGTCTTTTTGACAATTGGTGCTACTGTAGCTAATTGACATGCTCCTTGTCATTCGACTCCTGGGGTCATTTCCACTGTTTCTACTGTTATAAACTGTATGTGTGTGTGTGTTCTAATTGGAGCAATTTGAATTCAATTTTGAGAGATTGTGCTCAATCCCAGGCATGGGTGTTTCTGTAAAATAGATTCATAGAAGTGGAACTAGTGTCCCCTGGGTGTGTGTGCTTTCAATTCTGATACGCACAGCTGTTCCCATTTTCTCACATCCTTGCCAGGACTGATGTTACCCACGTCTTTAATATTTGGTGATCTGATGACTTCTTACTTACTTTGTATTTCCCTAATTCCTAAGTCCGATCATCTTAGAGGGATTTATAGTTCAAGAATTGCCTATTCCTATCCGTTGCCTATTTTTAAATTGGGCAACTTATCTTTTTCACATTGTCTTACTGCAGTACTTCTAATATTGACTCTACTCTTGTTATAAATGTAAATTTCTCTCAATCTGCCTCTTAGCTCTAAGTTTGTTTATGGGGTTTTCTGTGTTACAGAGGCTTAAAATTTTAATGATTACTCTTTGTGGAATCAAATATGTCTGTTCCTCCAGAGCATCTAAATTTGGGGCTCACCTAGGAAGGGTTTCCCTGCGCCCTAAGCCTTAAACATAGCCTCCTCTCCTATTAATACTTTCATAATTTTATTAATATTTAGAGCTTTAATCCAGCTTAATTTAGGTATTGTGTGATATGAAGGGATCCTGCCATCTGCTTAATAACCTATCTATTCTCCACTGATTCGCAATGCCCTGTGTTATCTCTCAATTCCCATGTGTGCATGGGCGGGTTTGGGACTTCGTTCTCTCCCACTGATCTACTCATCTGTTCTGTGCTAATTACGTACTGTTTTACTACTATAATTTTATAGTATGTTTTGGTATCTGGTATGTCAGTTTCTCTTTCATATTCCTCTTTTTCAAAATTGTCTTCCCTGCATTTTTTTTCTTTCGTATAAACTTCAGAATAAACCTCTCAGTGTTTTTAAGAAACACTTGGAATTTTAGGATTGTATTGGACTTTTAGATTAATTAGGGAAAAGCATCTTCCTTTTTGCAGCCTTTTCTGGCTTTCAAAAACAACATCCTGTCAGAAATCTAAATGCAAAAAATGGAATTCACAGAGTTTTTACGACCTGGAAGAAAATATGGCTGAATTACTCTATAACTGGGTATGGGGAAAGGTTTTCTACCAATAATTCAAAATCCAGATGCAATAAAAGATGGAACTAATTTGAATACATAAATAAAATTAAAAGTTTTGTATGGCAGAAGTTTGCATAAGAAAAGTCAAAAAGCTAGTGACAGAGAAAATATATACAATACATACCACAGGTAGAGGACTAATACATGTAAATCATAATAACCTTCTTCACTGTGTTGTGGAGAGAATTAAGTGGTATTCATAGTACTGAAAATGATTTCTAAACTTTTATTGCATGTATTAGTGTAATTATATAAGGTATAGAACATATACAGGACAAAGGGTAGTGTTCCTCCTTCTGAAACTCAGCTCTCCAGCCCAGACCTCCTGTGTGGACGTGCATTTGCGTCAGGAAGCTTACAGTTAAATTCTGGGACTTCATCTTGAGCTGCCACTAAGATGAGCCTTTTTTTTCCCCTATATTCATAGAATATACCCATTTTTTTCTTCTTTGTGCCTCACAACCTTCATAGCTTTCCATCTTCCATCGCTCATCATTGTGACTTCTTAAGGTGCTTCAAATATAAGTTGCCCGTCCCTCTGGATAACAGTGATAATCAATAAGGTTAATTTAATTTATAAGTCAGTGCTGACAGTTTGCTGCGTTTCTCCTTCTTCCTAACAGTAGACGTAGGGTTGGGAGCTGTAAACTTTCCGCTATGAAAGAAAGAGCACAGGGCTTGCTTTCAGCCCAGGCTGCAGGGTACACCTGTGCTGTGCCATTCACCCACAACCTGTGGCTTTTCCTGGGCCAAGCGCTTCTTGCAATTTTCATAGAATACTCGAGTTTCAAACCGACAGGACTTTGAAGCTCACCAGTCCAGCTTCTTGGACTGAGCTAGGAAGACTTGCATTTTAGAGAGTATGCTTACTAACTAGGTTCCCCATACTAAATACTCAGCTAGACAGATGAGTTACACGGCCTAGGATGCATAGTTCGTGTTGTAACTAACATGTATTTATATGCTTGTTTACGCTCTGCCTTATACCGGGGCATACTTGCTGTGGCTGACGGAGCTTGGAATTAAGGCCGCCTTGCCACCCTACTAGACGGTTCTGTCACGGTGTGAATGCCCTCCACGAGCCGTATCTAATAGGATGTGTGGCAGCTGGGCATTTGAAATGGCCAATTTGACTGAGGAACTGAATGTCTTATTTCGTTGTATGTTATTTTATTTTAAATAGCCATGTGTGGACATATACCCAATGTGGCTCTAGACCACTGAAGAGTTTGAAGTATGACTTTGTGTGTATATAAAAAGGTGATTATTTTCCTGTGTGGCCAGCCATTACAAATGCCAAACTGCTTTTCTCTTTCTCTAGACTCAGTCACTCAGCACAAGGTCTGTGCCTCTGAAAACTACCTGTTACTGCAGTGATGGAGATACCACTCAACAAACGCATGGCTGCTGCAAACAGCTCGCAGAGTTGCCTTTGAGTATTCAAATAACAGACAAACTTGGGAAGAGAAGGAACCGACCCAGACAGGATGCCTCTTTGTATCATCGTGTGTTCGCCTGAGTGGTGTGGGTTTTATATAAAGAAACCCCTTGGTGTGACTTTCTGACGACCGAACATGTGTTTCAGACATGCGCTGACTCACGCTCTCAGGGATTTTTCTGTATAAATGCCAGTCCTCATGTCTTAGTAACGGTCATAATCAAAAGGTCACAGAAACGTCATCATTCATTTGTTAAATAAAGAGAATTAGTTTCAGTTGTGTTATTACTGAGAACAATCACAGAACCCCCTAAGCTTCTTGGTTAGACTCTGAGATCTGTATCACTTCTCATGTACTGGGTCTAAAGATGCTGATCTGTTATTCAGGATGCTGTCTGAGCACCTAAGATTCCTCGCAAAGTGCTGGATGCGGCGCACTGTGCAGTGATAACTGGTCCGTGGAGCAGCCGTCCTTCTCCAAGCCGAGTATATGATGAGGACAGCATCCTGGACAAGAAGGCTCAGCCTCCGCTGGGCACATGGATGCTGGCTGTGCCCTGGAGGAAACCGGCAGTGGGACCGCATCACGCGCATGCCTATCGGTCACCTTCTACAGGAGAGAAACTCTAAATCCTGAAGAGTTGGAAGGTGCCACTAACACGTCATCACGGTACCATCTCCTCTCCATGTTGATACTGATCTCAGCTGTGCTTCCCACCTGAAATTTCAGCCCCTCCCCTAATATAATGGATCAACCTCCAGAATAAACCTTTAAGAAAAGAGGTAGCAGTACACATGGAAATAATGAAGGGTGTTCTCTTGGTTTTAAAATCATGCACAACACAAATAATGTCCTCACAGTGCCCAGGCCCCAACAATAGCCGGACCTCAGTACAGCTCTGAAGCCTGCATGCCTTCCTGTCACGTCACACACACTTGTTCGCTATAATCCCCACGCAGCCTGGTCCTGGCCACTGAGAAGCTCAGGTACTCCTACAGAGCTCCCACGACACCAACAAGTCCTGAGGAGACTGACAAAAATTGTGCTGAGTCATGCTGGGGACAAACCACAAAGAACTTCCCATCCTCCCCACACACACTGGCCGTGGAGTGCCACCAAGCACCTGTCCACCCAGCCCTGCATCCTCAGGGCTAAGGTCTGAGTCCTGAGGCTGGCCTTCCAGTGGCCACTCCAGACTCGCTTTCTGAAAGCTAACATTTGATGAGGACACTGATTTGTGCCAAGCAACACACTAAGCATTTTACACGTGGTACCTCGTTGAATCATACCACTAATACTAAAAATTACTACAGGTCTACAATTCCTTATGCAAAACACATAGGGCTCAAAGTGTTTCAAAAGCCAATTGTTTTTTTAATTTTCAAAGGTATGTGACTTGCCCCATTTCTAGTCAACATTACATTGAAAATTGAGAAACGATGGCAAGAAAAAGAAAGCAAACAGATTAGAAATGAAGAAGTAACACTCTTCTCAGATCACATGATACTATGTGTAAAAATTATAAGGCACCAAAGAAAAAATTTAAATGAGCAACTTTAGCAAGATTACAGGATACAAAATCAATATACCAAACTAAGTTAATTGTATTTCTATATACTATCAATAAACCATTTGAAAATGAAATTAAGAATGCAATTCCATTTATAATGGCTTCTAAAAATAAGCTAAATAGAAGTAAATTTAACAAAAATATAAGGTCTGTATACTGAAACCTACCAAACATTGCTGAGAGAAATTAAAGATCTAAATAAATCAAGAAATATACCGAGCTCATGTTTTAGAAGACAAGATTGATAAGATGGCAGTTCTTCTCATAGATGCAATGTAATCATCAATGGATACATCACCCAAACAGAAAACCAATTGAAAAAACCCGCCTTAAATGACACACTTGTGCAGATGGACTTAACAGATAGATACAGAACATCCCTTCCAAAAGCAACAGAAAACACATTCTTCTCCAGCAAATGTGGAACATTCCCCAGGTGAGATCATATGTTAGGCCGCAAAACGAGCCTTAATAACTTTAAGAAGATTGAAGTTATATCAAGTATCTCTTCCAACCACAACAGTATGAAACACGGAATCATCAGATTATCCGTATCCTCAATCCCAGTCATTAATCTTAAGAGAATGTTCTTAAAAAAGAAAAATGACAAGTACCCGAAGATGCTCATTGCAGCATTATTCATACTGAAAAGTAACTGGGAATGATCAAATGTCCAATAGTATGGAAATAATTTAGCAAGTTATTACACATCTGTCTGAGGAAATGTCAGGCAGCCGTTACAAATTATAATTATGAAGACTGATACAATGTAGGAAAGTTTTATAATATGAAGTAAAACGATGCAAGATTATATTTATACTGTAATCAGAACCATGCAAAATTATGCATGATTAGCAAAACTATAGGAAGGTGACATAGAGACATCATTTGAGTGGGTGGGGCAGCTGGACTACGATTAATTTTTGTATTTCATTTTTGTTTGTTTTACAATGTTTGGTAATATTACTGATATTTTTGAAAAGAAACATTCAGGCCCTATATATCCAAAACTGATTGCAATCAAAGCCTTATTCGCATAGCCGTTTGCATGTTCAATTTTGGCGATCTCCTATTTCTTTGCCTACATCCAAGTTTCTTTTGCTGAGTTATGTAATCACCCAAAGCCTCAGTTCCCTCATCTCTAAAATGGGGGCATTCACACCTCCTCAGAAGCCCTCGGGGTCGGGTTGGTCTGCTCATAAAGCTCTTTGCAAACTGAAAATGAAGAGCCATGGTTAAGAGCTCGCTCAAGAGTGCGAGCTCTGAGCAACAGGGTCACCGGTTCGATTCCCAGCCCGAGCTGAGCTGCTGCTGAGGCTCAGGATGAGGCTTTAGCTGCAGGATGGCTCAGCTAAAAAAAAAAAAAAGGAAGAAAAAGAAAAAAAAATGACAATTCAGTCAACCTGTCACCTTTCTCTGCTGCCTTCCCACAACCTGGTCATTCTTCACATCTCTCTGTTCTTTATTTTTCCACATTCAACTCAGCGACTTTGCCGTCTTGTCCACCCTGCACCCCATTTTTCCTCCCTCTCTGGAGGTCAGAGTGGGTTTCTGAAGCCTCACATCGAGGTGAGGTCCTTTCCAGACTCTCCCGTGGAGATGCCTCTTCATACCTGTTCCAGCTTCTGCGGCACCTGCCTGCCGGGCTGGTGAGTGCTTCCTCCACCTGCAAAGCCAGCGGCATGGTGAAGGCTGTCACGCCTCTTCTGTCGGACTCTCGCTGTTCTGCTCCCTCTCCCCCCACTCAGGACCCTGCGATGACACTGATTACCTTGGGCCCGCCCAGAAGACCCAGAATAACCTCTTTACTTTAACGTCAGCTGAATAGCAGCCTTTCCATCTGCAACCTTGTTGGTCCCCCTTCACCATGTGAAGTGTCATAGTCACAGGCCAGGGGCCATTCATTTGCCTACCACACTGCCACCTTTTTCCTGATGCTAAACCTAAGATGGACTTACTGGTCGCCCATCTCAGTGGCACCCAGTGCTTGGACCCTGAATAAGGCATTTGTATTTTTAGAGCTGCAGTTCCTTCAACTGACAATAGTGTCAGAGAAAAAAATATATATTCATGACACTTGCTAAGGCAGGCTTTCTTCAGGGTAGGGGTGGGGGGGGCAGTCACAATGATAGGTGTGGGGACCACTACAGTGGGGGACAAATGGGGCTCAACTCCGACCTCAGCCTGGGGAGCCGGGATTCATAGCCAAGGAGCAGGTGGGGCCCGTGGATACAAAAATCACCAAGAGGAAACGTCAGCGGTGAGCGGGGTCTGGCTAAACTGACCCACAGGATTCATGCAGAAGGCAGGCCAGGTGACCGGACCTCACCTGGGGATGCTGGGGGATGAGGAACCCCATCACATATTGAAGATGATCCAGGTGTCAAGGGTGGGGGTTCTGGTTCAACTGACCTCAGGATTCTTGCTAAAATTGGATTTTACAGGCAGGTGCACAGATGCGCCTAAGAGAAGTTTCAGGGGCTTGACCAAGCAACGTATCTTTGTCACTAGTCACAATAACACGTGTCCAATGCCTCAGAGCATAGGATGAGGGTCAGGCAAGATGAGAGGGCCTTTCTGAAAGAGGCTGGCCTGCATTTGGGAGTCATGTCTACCCCAAAACATGCATCAAGCGATTAAGAGGATTCCCAGTGCAGATTATGAAGGGCATAGCAAACGGGCCTCGCTCCAAACCATTGAAACAATGAAGAGAAAGACACTTTTTTGCCTACAATTATTGTGCGTGTTTAGTCATTATTTAATTTAATGGACCATAGTGTAAGGCTGAAATGTACAAGGTGTGATCAAACAATATGGTAAATGTTTAAATTTAAAATTTTTCATTACAGTAAAAGACACATTGCCATTAATCCCCCCTCAAAATACTCCCCCTCACTTTGAACACACGTATCCCATCGTTCTTGCCACTTTCTGAGGCAGTTCTGGAAGTCCTCTTTCGTGAGTGTCTTTAGTTGCATTGTTGTGGCTGCCTCGATGTCCCGAATCATTCTGACTTTGGGGAAGAGCCAGAATCACACGGTGACAGATCCGGTGAATAAGGTGGATGAGGACACACTGTAATGTTTTTATTTGCAGAAATTGCCACGTATCAGAAGCAATGTGTGACACGGAACATTGTCATGATGGCGAGGACGAAGTAAAGACACTCGTGAAAGAGGACTTCCAGAACTGCTTCAGAAAGTGGCAAGAACGATGGGATAAGTGTGTTCGAATTGAGGGGGAGTATTTTGAGGGGGGTTAATGGCAATGTGTCTTTTACTGTGGTAAATTTTTTTCTATTTAAACATTCACCATATATTTTGATCACACCTCATATATTTTAAAGTGATCTGTGGTAGTAATTAAAATGGAAATGTGGTAGTAATTAAAGTTTCACATCCCCTGTTCTTAATATTGCTTCATCTTTAACTTTATTGAAAACTATAGAATCTATTTTTTGTGC